TTGTGCAAGTTCTTCAAGGAGTCAAGAGAACCAGGTTGGAAGCTGGGTATCCAGGGAACTGTCTTTCAGTTAACTGGTGGCCAGAGAAGTGGGGTGGAAAATCAGGCATCCTCATCACAGTTGATTAGCACAAAGGCATCAGGCAGGCTGTTGACACCCTCTCCAAAGCCCCCACTAGGTGCTCGGGAGGCCCACACGGCCCCAGAGCATTTTCACCCGTGACACCGACACAGCAGGGGTCAGCTGTTCTTCAGGCGTAACCTCCAGATGCTATCTTCCAACGTGAGTTCTACTACCTCCATATATAACTGGCTCGGATACATGTCTGTGAACTGAAAGCACAGTCCATGAGGACAAGATGGGACAGGCTTGGGCTTTTACTTGCTGGGCCTGCAAATCCTCCGGAGCAGCAGCACCTCCACCCCCCTCAACTGAGCCCAAGAGCACTGCCGTGATCTGAGGTCTGCGGAGGGTGCTGGCCCAGCCTGCGCCACTCCCCACCCCGCAGCTCCTTTGCATTTATTTTGTACCAAAAACAATGTTGAGCAGTACTCTGCTGGAACACTCCCTTCTGGAGGAGTGACCGTCCCACACCCATGTGTACAGAGGACAGGGTCCTGGCAGCTGCCCGAGCCACACAGCCCACTCCCCATGCTGCAGTGCTGTTACGTTTTACAGGTCATGTGTCCTCCTTCGCCCAGTCGGCCCTTCAGGTGCCTTCGACTCCCCCAGTGCCCAGGCCAGACCACTGGGGTTTCCTGCTGCAGGAACGGGGAGTTGGGAACAGCAAAAGGGATAGTGCTCTGGGGTGGGGGCAAGCACACCATTGTCTGTGGGAAGGTCCACATTTGGGCCCACTGAGTTGCACTGGGATTCTTCACTTTGCCCCTTTCTTGAGAGCAAATAACATGGCAGAACCACATGGGTGTTTTAGTATATAGTATTTTAGTAAAATACTATAAATAAAATATATTTTAGTATATTTTATATACATATGGGCTTCCCAGGTGGCTCAGTGCTAAAGAATCTGCCTGCCGATGCAGGAGACGCGAGAGACGCAGGTTCCCTGAGTTGGGAAGATCCCCTGGAGGAAGAAACAGCACCCCATTCCAGTATTCTTGCCTGAAAAATTCCACAGACAGAAGAGCCTGACGGGCTACAGTCCGTGGGGCCGCAAAGAATCGGACATGACTGAGCACACACATATACACACACACAAGGTTACAAACATTGAAGTAGCATTTGTCCTTGTCTTGTAACACACACACACATATAAAGAATTCTAATTTGCAAAAAAAAAAAAAAAAGGGACTCAATTGCCAACTTACCTACAGTGAAGTGAAGCTGGTTGCTAGAGTCTTTCAGTCACACATACACTTGGCATATACTTATTACCAGACTCTGAAAGAAATATTGCCTGTGCATGTACAAATTAGACCAAGATCCTGCAGAAAGCACTACACAACAAATCATTATATAATAAAGCACTGTGATGAAGGTGAAGGGGCTATACCAGACAATCTCCTTAGGTTTCACATTATACCTGTACCTGTTTGTGTGTTAAACATAAAGCACAAACTGTATCTGAGAACTCCAGCTGTGCTGTTATTTAGCCATGGTCTTAAGTGGCTTAATCCATTTAAATTATAGAAATAAAAATGTTTTATGAACACACACAGTACTGCACATAAATGTTTTTGGAGAATTTGTTTACACCTTCCTTCTTACTCTTTGCCTTTTGAAGAACTCACTCACTCTCCAAAGCCAGCTTAGATGTTATCATCACCAACATCCTCAAGTAGTGGCTGAGTCTTCTAGGACTCAGCGGTCCATGATACTTGTCCTGTCACAATACTTACCATCACGTACTAGGCTATTTGTGGAAGTGCAACAACTGTCAGACGCTCTTCGTTATTCATCTGCTCTTGGCGCCTGGATCAATGTGATCCAGAAAAATGCTAGGTAATGTTCGGTGAATGAATGACATCACTCTAGGTTACAGAGAACTGAAAGCAAGGAGCCAGGTTGGTTAACTGTGAATTCCACTGGGCACTTAACAAGAACTCTATCATCTGTGAATTCCAAGACTTAAACTAGCAACAATTCTGAGTTCACTGCACTTATGCCTAGAAAGCTGAAGGTGTTTATCTTTAACTACTATGGATGTTGCCTTCAAAGTAATTCACAATTTCTTCAGCCTTCATCAGGTAACATTGGATGGCCTTATCACCTACATTTCTCTGCTGGTCATTGAGTACCAAGACAGACCCACTCTGAATTTACAGGTAATGATTTATGCCACGTAGCAAAAAAGGACACTGATGGAATTTATTTTCTAATCATCTAAGGCACCTTTGTAGAAGGGTCTATTAGAAAACATTTTACGATCTGGGGAATTTTAACACTCCTTGCTGAGCAATACTTACAGCAGTACACTACCTGTGTAGTAAGAGAAAGTTTGGGGTGGTTTATATATTAATATATTCCAAGCGAAGCATTAGCCACCGCAGTGGTTTACATGTATACACCACTTCACTACAGGAGCAAGGAACACGTGAGCCCAACAGGAAGGGAAGGGCCCCTTGCTCACCTTGATTCACTCCACCTTGAACGCTGACATACTATCCTGCCTTCAGAAACTCAGGCACCATGAGTCACCGCAGGTCTAGAAGGAGCCAGAGGCAGCAGACAAGGGAACGCCTGCATTCTGCATCAGAGGGCTCCCAGCCCTGCAAGCCTGGCTCTCTGAGAGGACAGTGGCCCGGGGTTTGGGGCAGGCAAGCCAATTCTTTAGTGCTGCAGCGGGGCACCACAGCCCTCTCGGAGCAGCGGTGTTGGTGCTGGACTGACTTAAAGCAGCATTCTTCTGGAACTCTGTGCAGAAGAATCATCTACACAGGAGGAATCTTGTCAAGCTGCATGCAGGACCTGGGGCAGAAGGCTGGGTTGGGATGAGATTCTGTACCACATTGCTGGTGATGCCTTCTCCCTAGACTACACTTAAAACTCTAGATCACAACTAGATCTACATGAGAATCACCTGGGTGACTTTTATAACCATAGGGATGCCCAGGCCTCACTCCTTACTAATTAAATCAAAACGATGCTGGAGAGGGGACAAGGCCAAGGGGGAGTGTTGATCCAGGCTCAACATTGTTCTGGGCTTCCCTGGTGGCTCAGTGGTAAAGAATCTGCCTGTCAATGCAAGAGACACAGGTTCGATCTCTGGGTGGGGAAGAGCCCCTGGAGAAGGAAATGGCAACCCACTCCAGTATTCTTGCCCGAGAAACCCCATGGACAGAGGAGCCTCGTGGGCTACAGTCCATGGGGTCACAAAAGAGTCAGACACGCCTCAGCAACTAAACAACGACAACAAACAATATTGTTCTAAAAGTTCCCCCAAGTGTGGTCAAGGTTGAGGTCAGCTGGTCTCGGGTTCAACTCATTGTGAAGCAGGGGCCAGCCTCAAAGAGGTTCCAGCAGACAACCAGATGTCACCTGGTTTTGTTGCTGTTGTTCAGTCACTAAGTTGTGTCCGACTCTGCAACCCCATGGACTGCAGCACACCAGGCTTCCCTGTCCTTCATCATCTCCCAGGGATTGCTCAAACTCATGACCATTGAGTCAGTGATGCCATCCAACCATCTCATCCTCTGTCGCCCCCTTCTCCTTCACCTGGCTTTACCACTTTCAATTTTCCCCACCAGGGGGACACATGCTAAAGGCAATTTACTGCCACCCCTCATTTCAATGACTATTTTCAACATAGAAACATAGAAGCAGGAGAACTCTTCCTCCTCTGCCCCTCACCCCAATTCCCAACACAGAGTTGTGTGCATAACAGGCTGTCAACAGGCTAATTGACAATGGTGAGTTTTCCTTCCTCTCTCTGACCCAAAAAAAGGTGCTAATAAGCAATTATTGCACCAAAGAGAAGAGGAGAAAGGGATCCAGAGTATGCAATGGCTGAACAGCACTGAGACCTAAGTATGTTCCAGTCTATTGATAAAACAACCTTAAGGATGGGCCAACAGAGGAACAAAGCTTCTTTCAAAATTCTTAATGGCAAGTGAAGAAACTGCAGTTTTCTTTCAGTCATTGATTGGATTCAATGTGTTTGAAAGTTGATGAGTTGTAACTCAGACCAAAATAATATACAACCACAAATAGTTTAGCCTTTTATCTTTACTTTTAACCTACAAAGTGTAAAGTGTTCATAAAAGATTTCAATAAATATAGTAAGGCTTCAGGTGATCACTGTTCTGAGTGGAAGAGTTTGCTTTCTAACATACTATAGCTAACATACACCCAGAATCTTTAAAACCAAAAACGTTCACCACCTTACAGTGACAGATACAACACATCACTTGCCCCAGTTTTGTTCCCCAGCTCGAGGTATCTCTGTACTGTCTTCCATTCATCTTTGATGCACAGAGAATGACACAAACTATTTGGACAGGTTCAGAGAATGCAAGTCTCTTGATTGGTGTGGCCTGAAAGGTTTACTTTCTCAGTACAGTGTTTTTACTGAGTCCTCTGGACAATTAGTAATGCAGCTTACAAATAAATAAAGCTCAACCAAGTGGCTTCGAAGCTCATGAAACAGCAAGAAAGGCAGCAGAAGGTCCTGAGGAAGGGCAGCAGTGAAATATGAGCTCTCACACACTGCAAACTCCAGGCAAACCCCACCAACAGAAAAGTAACTAGCTATATACAAGTTGTTTCATCTTGCCCAGAATACGGGAGGTCTTCTCCACGGATCCTCTCATTACTCTCTCAGTATAAACCCTTGGCCACAGGGTCTCAGGACCAGGGCGTGAGGAGACGGCTGAGCACCTCCAGATCACTCAGCAGAAAGTGGCCCTCCAAACAGACCACAGCCCCCACGCCCAGGCACATCTCCCCGCCTGCAAGTTAAGCTGGCAGCACCGGTCCCACAGTCCTGAGGACCGCCCGCAGAGGAGAAGCCCGTGCTGACAGTGGCCTGCCTCCTGCATCCTTTAGAGGGACTCCAGGAGCCAGTCACCGCCGGGGAGTGGGGAGACGGGCAGCGTCAGGTCCCTCGGGAGGCCTCGCTCCCTGCCATCCTGGAGGGAGTTCTGCTCCTGGAAATACTCGTCCTCCTCGTCGAAGAAGCCATTCTCCAGGGCATAAGTGCTGTCTGGGCTGGCCGCTGCCTGGCAGGCTCCCTTGTACTCCTGGATGGACTCATAGAGGCTGTACAACTGGCAGAGCAAGGACATGTCCAGCTGTCGGAGGCCAACCTTGAGGGAAGGGGTGGGGAGGTAAAAGCGAGAAGTCAGCAACGGAAGGGCATCTTAGCGCTGCTCTCAGTCAGCAGTCTGCCCGTGCCAGCGTGTTCTTTCCACATGGCCAGCGACTCAGAGCATCCCTCGAATGCTCTGGCTCTTCAGTTTTGAGAAAACCTTAATTATGCAATGCCCACACCTCAGACGTTACCCAACATGTCAGGGAACGATCGCACCTGTGGGGCAGTGGGCCCAGCCTACAGAACATCACCTGGTGATCCGGCCCGCCCTGCAGAGAAACAGCCTTGCACATTTTGAAAGCCCCAGCCAGCTTCACTTTGGACATCAAGATGCAAGGGTGTCGTCTCTTCCTGCTATGATCAGATTCAGAGAAGACCCCCATGTGGTCTCTCCTTCCTGGGGCAACAGTCTCTGTGCCAGGACCAGGAGCTCAGCAGTTAAGTGTCATACGCTGCCCCCTGGAGCACCCACCCTCCAATCAGCTGGGTCTCCAGACTCACAAGGAGTCAGACTCCCTCTCCTTTGGACAAGAGGACATCTCCTGAGATGGCTGTGGGGTCACTCCCCAGAGAGAACAACCACATACGCCTTAGTAAGACCTGGGCCTCTACTGATTTCCTTGGGAACTATTTTCCCAAGTGATAACAGAACAAAGAACATTTCAAAGTCACACATTTATCTTCAAGTTCCTTCCTCCCCCCATGGCCCATGCTAGGGAAAAGAGAAGAGTCAGGACAGGAAATGCATCGTTTCCATCAATCCCAGAGAGAGAAGGGTTAATTCACCTAGAAACGCAGCCCAGACCAGCCCAGCCGCTCTCTCCAGTGCGTGAGAACCACTCCTGAGAAGCCTGCAGATTCCGACTCTGGCCAGGTCTAGGGCCACCGGGAACGAGGACGAGGACGCCGAGCAAGCTGCTGAGCAGTCGACCTCCAGGGCTCTTAAGATGGGAAACTCTAAACAGATGCCAGGAGACTTGCCCTGCACCCTTCTGCTTCTGGGCTCTCGAGCAAGTTATTAATCATCTCTATGCCTTGGTTGATGACAAAATGAAATAATTTCTCTTAATCTACTGGGAGGATTAAATGAAATACCAACTATTTTAATAAACAGCAATCAAATGTCTCCCACGTACCAAGCACTACGCTAAAGCACTCAAGATGCACGGGAAAGAATACACAAAAACACAGGGAATATGTGTGTTTTTTTTTTTTGCAGTCTAACTTTATTGAGGCTTTCAATGGCTAAGTTGAAGATCTCTCTTGGTAAATGTCACAGTGCACTTGAAAATATGTGGGTTATTTTCAATTATCTTTGATACTGATGTCTAACATAATTCCACAGTGATAAGAGAACAGGCTCTGTATTATTTCAATACCTTTAGACCATGAAATCTTTGCATCTTGTTTTATGTCCCTGGATATGTTTCAATGTCTTCTAGTTTACAGTGTATGGGAACTTGAATAGAATTTGTATCCTACTGTTGTGTGAAAATTGTATAAATCTTAATTATGTTGAATTGGTTCACAATGCTTTTTCTGGTCTACTATATCCCTCTACTTCTCTGTATATTTATTCCATTAATTTTTGAGAGTCTGATATTAAAACTCCAACTAAAAAGCTTAAATAATTGTAATATATAGTAGTGTGTGATGAAAGTGAAAGAGGAAGACTGAAAAAGTTGGCTTAAAGCTCAACATTCAGAAAACTAAGATCATGGCATCCGGTCCCATCACTTCATGGCAAATAGATGGGGAAACAGTGGAAACAGTGGCTGACTTTATTTTTCTGGGCTCCAAAATCACTGCAGATGGTGACTGCAGCCATGAAATTTAAAGATGCTTACTCCTTGGAAGGAATGTTATGACTAATCTAGACAGCATATTAAAAAGCAGAGACATTACTTTGTCAACAAAGGTCCGTCTAGTCAAGGCTATGGTTTTTCCAGTAGTCTCATATGGATGTGAGAGTTGGACTATAAAGAAAACTGAGTGCAGAGAACTGATGCTTTTGAACTGTGGTGTTGGAGAAGACTCTTGAGAGTCCCTTGGACTGCAAGGAGATCCAACCAGTCCATCCTGAAGGAGATCAGTCCTGGGTGTTCATTGGAAGGACTGATGCTAAAGGTGAAATTCCAATACTTTGGCCACTTGATGCAAAGAACTGACTCATTTGAAAAGACCCTGATGCTGGGAAACATTGAGGGCAGGAGGAGAAGGGGATGACAGAAGATGAGATGGTTGAATGGCATCACCGACTCAATGGACATGGGTTTGGGTGGACTCCGGGAGTTGGTGATGGACAGGGAGGCCTGCCGTGTTGCAGTTCACGGGGTCACAAAGAATCGGACACGACTGAGCGACTGAACTGAACTGAATTGATAGTGGAACTATATGTAACCTTGTTCTGTATTTTCCAAGTCTCCTGTAAATGTGTTATCATACTTAAATAATTTAAAAAATAAAAATATATCTTAAAAATTATTAAAAATAAACATTAATATTTATTAATAAATACATTTTTAAAAGAAACAAAGAGCGCGTCAAAAGATTTAGTCTTTATAATTACCCAGCAATGATATTTTCTACACAAGAGAAGCTATCTGGTGACAAAGCTAAATTCCAGGTCACTCTTCTCACCGTCAGCTCACTCTTGTTCACCAGCGACCTCTCTGGTACAGCTGAACAGATCACAGACATGGAGCTACTCGCACTGACCTGGCGTGTTGGCCAAGACATTCAAAGGAAGACCCAGATAGAGACGCAGGCCCTGTTGTTTTTGGCGTGATTTCCATCGTCCCAGAATTCCTTCTAAAGAAGCTGTTCCCAGGAAGAGACTTCCAGAAAGCTGGGGGCATGGCCTCCAGGCACGCTCCACCCCAAGGCATCCTACTCTCAAAAGTTAATTGGCTATTTTGTTGTTGTTGTTAAGTTGCTAAGCCTTGTCCGACTCTTTGTGACCCCATGAACAGCAGCCCGCCAGGCTCCTCTGTCCATAGCATTCTCCAGGCAAGAATACTGGAGTGGGTTGCCATGCCCTCCTCCAGGGGATCTTCCCAACCCAGGGATCGAACCGGAATCTCTCATGTCTCCGGCAATGGCAGGCGGGTTCTTTCCCTCTAGCGAGCCCAAAACTGTAAAGGAAAAAGTAGCAGAGCATGTGCTATCGGCCCAGGTCTGCCACTCTCCTGGGCCACAGGAGGTGGGCACAGCTGACTGCAGAAGCCCTGACTTCCCTCAACGCCGTGCTGCCCCGAGTGCGGCTCCAGGTTGCTCTCCTTAGGTGCTGAGGTGTCTGAGGCGTTCCCAGGCCTATGTGGGAGACGCGTTAGGCTGGGAGTTGGATCATAACCTGGATCTTTCTGCACTGTGGCGGCCGGTGACTCACAAAGCTGCCTTGTCATCGGGCGGAACGCTGGCCTAGAAACCAAGTCTGACCCACCTAGGAATACAGCAGAGCCCCATACACGCCTGTTACACAAGCCAAGAGATGCCAAGGCTTTGGACTAATTTAACAGGGATTTAAACACAACACATGTGCACACCCACAGCCTGGCTTCTCAGGGCCTCCTCCTTCAGGCTTATGAGATTCAACTTCCTCTGGTTCACCAGCAACCCTCCAGATTAGCCAGGAGGACAGGAGCTAAGTACATACATACAGGAGCAACCTAGCTTCCCACCCAGGACACCTCTTCCCCTGCTGAAGTAGTTTAAACATTTTCACTTGAATTTTCTAGAGGTAAACTGAAAATCCCTAGGTGGCATCCAATAATCTGACCTGGAAGAATTCTCCCTGTGCCTCCTCCACCGGTCAGTGAGGTCCCTTCATCCTGACTGTCCGCTGGCTGTTTTTCTGGGTTTTTTTTAATAGCATCAGATTCATTTTATTTAATTCTCCAAGTTTTTTCCTTACCTTTTTTTAATTTATTTTTTTAAATTGGAAAATAATCGCTTCCCACTGCATCCCAGGCTTCCCAGGTGGCCCAGTGGTTAAGAATCTGCCTGCCAATGCAGGAGAGATGGCGCGATCCCTGATTCAGGAAGATCTCACAAACCATGGAGCAACTAAGGCCATGTGCCACAACTACTGAGCTTGTGCTGTAAAGCCTGCAAGCCTCAACTACTGAAACCCTAGCGCCCTAGAGCCCATGCTCCACAAGAGAAGCCTCCGCAAGAAGCAGCCTGCACACCACAACAAGAGAAAGTCCGCGTGTAGCAATGAAGACCCAGCGCAGCAACAAATATATATATATATATATATTTTTTTTTTAACTGTAGATTTTTTTTTTCATTTATTTTTATTAGTTGGAGGCTAATTACTTTACATCATTGCAGTGGGTTTTGTCATACATTGAAATGAATTAGCCATGGATTTACATGTATTCCCCATCCCGGTCCCCCCTCCCACCTCCCTCTCCATCCGATCCCTCTGGGTCTTCCCAGTGCACCAGGCCTGAGCACTTGTCTCATGCACCCAACCTGGGCTGGTGATCTGTTTCACCCTAGATAATATACATGTTTCGATGCTGTTCTCTTGAAACATCCCACCCTCGCCTTCTCCCAGAGTCCACAAGTCTGTTCTATACATCTGAGTCTCTTTTTCTGTTTTGCATATAGGGTTATCATTACCATCTTTCTAAATTCCATATATATGTGTTAGTATACTGTAATGGTCTTTATCTTTCTGGCTTACTTCGCTCTGTATAATGGGCTCCAGTTTCATCCATCTCATTAGAACTGATTCAAATGAATTCTTTTTAATGGCTGAGTAATATTCCATGGTGTATATGTACCACAGCTTCCTCATCCATTCGTCTACTGATGGGTATCTAGGTTGCTTCCATGTCCTGGCTATTATAAACAGTGCTGCGATGAACATTGGGGTGCACGTGTCTCTTTCAGATCTGGTTTCCTCGGTGTGTATGCCCAGAAGTGGGATTGCTGGGTCATATGGCAGTTCTATTTCCAGCTTTTTAAGAAATCTCCACACTGTTT